GCTTTCCCACAATCACTGCATTTAAAAGGTTTCTCTCCAGTATGAATCCTACAATGTCTTATAAGATCTATCTTTTGGTGGAAGGCCTTTCCACATTCATTGCATTCAAAAGGTTTCTCTGCAGTATGAATTCTGTAGTGTCGTGTAAGACTTACCTTATGCTGGAAGCCCTTTCCACATTCACTGCATTTATAAAATTTCTTTTTATCTTGAATAGTAGAATGTTGATTGAGATCTGTATTCCCACATTTAGTCAACTCAGAACCCTTTTTTCCTGTATCAGTTCTCTGGTGTAGAGCAAGTTCATTTTTCAGGAGGAAAGAATTCTCACTTTCATGATGTTTCCCTTCAATATGAATTCCATATTTTCTAATACAGTCAAAATCATAACTGAAGGTTTTCTCACATTTGTTAACATCAGAATACTTCTTCGGCGAACAGATTTGATTACACTGACTTTGGTCTGAATACATGGTGAAGGTCTTTCTCTGAATATCACTCTTCTGGAGTTCTATTACTACAGATATTCCTTGTTGTAGAAAACTGACTAGCCCTGGGCTAGAGGTTTGGCTATATTTACTATATTCAGAGCCTCTGACTTCATGGATAGTTTCTGTGTGGTTTACTTTTCCTTGTCTAGAACATTTCTCCTCATTGCTCTGCTCTGTCTTTAACCTGCCATAATATTCCCAGGCTTTTCCTATCTTGAAGATGCACGAATCATCCCACAAGAACCTTGGCTGGGATAAGTCTTCCAAAGAAACATTCATCTTTGAAGCTGACTCCTTGGTATGAGGCCTGGCATCCCAATCTGAAAGAAAGAAAAAATGAAAACAACCCTTTCCTTGAATAAATAAACTATGGTCTGTGCTTCACTGTCCCCAACATTCTGGCTGTTATGAGCAATGTACATATTGTTTTCACTTGAAATGAAATAAATTCTTACGTCTTCTAAAATTTCTGTGCATTCACGATGCTTAAACTTTCATAAGACTCAATAATATTATTAGGTAAATATGGCAAAATTGACCCAAATAAAGAACAAACAATGGATACAGAGACTACCGCTGACTCTCCTACAACAATATGAACAATGTAGCTTGAAGTGTTTTTGTTTAGTTTTTAGGAAAATTTTTCATCAAATCACACCGCAGAGAGTCATGGGAGTGTGATCACTGGGTCAAAGAAAAAGAAGTCATGTATAGTTGCAATTCTGAAGAATTCCATTTTGCTCTCCAAAAATAAATAAATAAATAAATAAAGATTCAAGTCCCACCTAAAATGTAGTAACATTGCTAAATTCTGAAAGCACCAAGAGAAGCAGATTTCTATCTACCTCTACCAAGCAATTCTAGTATAAAAACGGAAGGCCATCATCCACACAAAATGCAGGAGTAGGGTAGAAATTATCAGTAAGATGTACGGCAGAGAGAAGAGTTCATTTCCAAAAAAGTTATCCCGAGGATCACAAAGGGGCTGCTTTGAGTGGGTTCACAGATGAGAGACCAGCTAAGCAATGGGATGTCATATACTCAATCGCACGGCACTCACTGACTCACCTGGCCAGCAGGTTCTTAGGACACTATCCATTGGAATCCCATGTGCTTCCCGTGACTCTAGCTGAGAGATCACATCCAGGTTGGAATCTGCAAGGCCTAGTCAAGAGAAATGACAAAGTGATACAGAAGGAGGTCACCTCAAAACCAAAACCTCACAGGCCCCTAGAATCAAGCTAGGAAGGTCCAGCGAGTCTGGGGACCAGGGAGGAGCAAAAAGAAAACATATGAAGGGTGATCTGGTTTGTTTTCCTGAGAAAATATAGAAATGGGACAAAGAACTGAGAGACAATGAGTTCATTTGGTCCATTCAATATTGAAGAATCTGGGACCTTTCTTGACTGCAAGTATTTGCCCTGGGACTTGAGAAAGCTTCCCTGGCCTGAGGAAACAGAGAGCTGGAATGGGATCACACAAAGAGGAAGTCAGTTTCCAGACATACAAAGCAAGAGCCCTTCAGCTGGGATCAAAAAGCATAAGCACCCTGTCTCTTGGTCTCACTGTGATCAACAAACGCTTGTTTTTTGTTTTTTGAACAGGACATGGCATCAGTGCTGAACACTAAAAACAGCTCCAACAGAAGGAAACAAATAACTTTTCCTGCACAGATCCTAGGTCCCAAGAAGAGCCATCCTTACCCAGGCTGACCAGGTTCCTGTAGTTCTCCAGCATCACCTCCCAATAAACCTCCTTCTGGGAAGTGTCCAGGTAGCCCCACTCCTCCCAGGAGAAGTCCAGGGCCACATCCTCGAACGTCACTGATTCCTGAAACAACAAATACATTTGTACTCATCCAGGGATCATATCTCAGATGGATCTGGGAAAGGAGATGAAGTGGGCAAGAAAGAGAAGGACTAATTGTTACTATATTCAGGTTTTCAGAGTGTTCAAAGCCAGATCTTTAGGAGTAGTTACCACATGTCTCAGGCTGTACCAGATTCTGAATCATGTTACAGATGAATAGTCATTGTCAAGTCAATAAAGATTTATGGAGGATTTACCCTGTGCCAGGCTCTGTGCTGAGCCCTGGAGATATGAAGAAGGCAAAAACAGTCCCTGCCCTCAAGGAGCTCACAGTCTAATGGGAGAGACAGCAAGCACCTGACTACTGACAAACAAGGTCTAGACAACACTTTCTTCCCAACCACCTTGGGAAGGCCAGCATTCCTCATATGTACTTTACAGATGAGCAAACTGAGGCTGAGAAAGGCTTTGTGGATTGCTCATGTTCACAGACAGGATCAGAGCTATGGCTCCCATCCCTGTCTCCAGAGCTCACCCAAAGCTCTCTCCACCAGACCATGACGCCTCCTTCTCAGCAGCTCAGGTTCCCCTTTGGGAGTCTTCTCCCAAGGCGGCAGAAGTAATCAACAGGCCTCTGTTGTGGGCAAACTATGTGCCAGGCACTGGGTTACATGATGGGGATGCAAAGTCACTACCAGCTGAGGGGGAAAGAACGGGCTCCTGTAAAAGTCAGGGCTCAAGCTGACCCTTGAAACAATAAGTCAGTGCCTCCAAGAGGGGCAAGATGAGGGGAGAGAAGCATTCCAGGCAGGGAGGGGAAGCACAGGCAGAGAGAAGAGACGGGGGGCTCATGTGTGAGGAACAGAAAATGGGCCAGGCTGGCTGAGCCACAGGAAGCAAGGAAGACTTTAACACACAAAAACAAGGAAAAGGTAGAAAGGCTCAGTTTGTACAGAACATTAAATACCAAACAATGGATTTTATATTTGATCTTGGGAAGAACAGGGAGCCCTGGGCTGAAAGAGAGAGCATTCAAAGAGAATCATGAAGTTCAGAAACAGGGAAGGTTTGGGGGGGAAATACTGAATTATCCTGGGATATGGTGCATTGAAAATGTCTATGGGATACCCAGTTTAAAAAATCCTATTTTCACAGTTGTAGATTCAAGAGTGGAACCCATGGCATGGGATGAAACCCCCAAGCAAGAGACCTTGGAGAGAGAAGAGAGAAGGAGAGCCAGGCCAGAGCCTTAGACAAGCCTCCGGACAGAGGACATGACATGGATGCTCACCTAGCAAAGGAGGCAGAGAAGGGAGGAGTGGTCAGACAGGAAGGAGGAGGGGACCCAGAGAGAGCAGGGCCATGAAACTGTCAGGAAAGAGAGGCTGAGGCCAGAGAAGAGGCCACTGGATTGGGACATTTGGGGAGGGAGTTAGCCATAGCCACTAAAAAGATCAAAGACAGTCTCCCAGGACATGCTGCTTTTCAGGCTTCCCCACAGGTGCTGAGTCAAGTGAGGTAACCAGCATTTATTAAGTGCCTACTGGATGCCAGGCACTGTGGTCTGGTGACTAAATGGCTGATCAGCCCCAGGGGCTCTGATGATAGAGAGCACTGGAGAAAAGATCCGTCTACACCGTGCCCTGAGACACCTGGCAGGGAGGAGGACAACGCTGCTTACCTGGGGGGCCCATGCTGCGCTCCTTCCTGCTCCCCGCTCTGGCTCGCACCCAGGCCCCTGATGGAAAGGAAAAGTCAGCCATGGCGGGGGGGGGGGGGGGGCCCTTCCCCCCCCCCCCCAGACCTGCCTCTGCCTGGGAAATGCCCACAGTGACACCGGGGGCAGCCTGTCTGTGTCCAGGACTCGGGTCAACTCAACGTGCATTGATGAGGCGCCCACTGTATGCCTCACTGCTTTCTAGGTACTAGAGATGCCAAGGAAAAAAAAAAGCAAGACTGTGCCCCTCCCATGCCACAGCAGCTCTGGGAAATGCCCGGTCATCTGAAGGACTGGGCAGTGACACTTGGGGGAAAGATGAGGAGGGCCCTGCGCTGGGGCTGGTGGGGAGGGCTGGAGGTTCCCTGGAATGGAGAGGGGCAGGGGGGAGGAGTGAGGGAGCCAGAGCAGGGGATTTGGGGAGCAGAAGGGGAAGGAAGGGCAGAGAAGCGAGAACGGAAGAGGATGGGGGTGGGGGGGAGGAGGGGAAAATGAGGGGAAAGAGAAGGGAGGGGAGGGGGGAGAACTCGAGAGAGAAAATAAGGGAGGGGGCGGGGCGGTCCCGCCTCACTCGCAACCCCCCCACGTTGCAGGAGCCTTCCCCCCATTTCAGAGACGAGTCAACTGAGGCAAGGAGAGGGGAACTGAAGCCGCGGAGGGGAGGGTGGGGGTCCCGGCGCCCCCTCCTCGCCTCCTCCCAGACAAACAACGGTCGCCGACCCCAAGAGCTACGAAGCCAGACTGGAGGCTCTGGGACCGCGAAGCAAGCGGGAACTTCCGCTCCTGCGCAGTGTCCCCCTCAGCTAGGAAGGCGTCCATTGGCTAGATCAGGGAAGGGGCGGGGCGCCAGCCACCTCCCCCGAGCCGCAAGTGGGGAGGGGGAAGCCGCTCCAGCGGCGCCTGCGCATTCTGCACCCCCTGCCCCATCGGGTCTGGGACTGCGAGCCAGTTCGAGGCGCCGCCCCCCGCTCCCGCCACCCCCATCCCCCCCGCCCCGGCGGCTCCCCTGGGTCTGGGCCTGAGCAGGGCCCCCCAGGGGCTCCGTTCGGTCCGCACCCCTACCTGACTGTCCCTCTGCCTCGGCGTCCTCCCTGTCACGTGGGGCCGCCCCATTGCGCTGCGGGAGGCGCAGCAGCCTCAGTCTCTGGCTCCGGGAAATGGGCCAGGGGAGCCTGCCGGGGGTCTCTCTGGGGTCCCCAGGGATCCTGAAAATGGTTCTGGGGGGCCCAGGGTCCCCCACCCCGCCGCGCCTTTGGCTTTGCGGGGGCTTCCTCCAGGAGCACCCCCTTCTCCCCACCTCTGCCTGCCGAGGAGAGGCCCCTGCGTTCCCCAAGGGACGGGGGGAGACAGCAGAGAAAGATAGGACCCCTCACCTCCCCAGACCTGCCCCTCCCCCCTCCCCTGGTGGTCCCTCCTTCCCAGAAGAGTCGCTGGTCATTGGCATTGGTTTGCCAAGCTCTATACACACCCTGTTTCCATGGACCCTCACCACAGCCATTACACAGAAGGGAAACTGAGGCACACTTGTTGCAGTGTTTGGGGCTAAACCTGAATCCAGGTCCCACACTCCCCCCTGCTGCCACCCATGCCCATCTTCAGAAAGCCTCCTGACCTAGATGCCATCCCTACTACGGGGTTCCCACCTTGTACCCCAGGATTCATAGCCTGATCACAACATTCAGGGCTCCTGCCTGCTCAAGTCAGACTTGGTGCTGGGCGGGTTTCAGGGGCAATCATATGTTCCCATGGCCAGTCTTGGGGTCCTTTTTTTAGCTTTCCAGCATTTAAAGCACTTGTCTCTCTACATCCTACAAATAAAACGAACCCTAGGACGTCCCTGGCACTTGACCAGCCTGGGGTACACGGAGGGAAAGGGGCTTTCCTTGTATTCTGTCCCCATAAGTGTCCCCAGGCAGGACTGCAGAGGGGGCTTAAAGGTTTTGATAAATGGCTGAGATGTTCCCAGCTGAGAACACTGGACTCTGCATCATAGAAATGATTGGGTAGTCGTCCTCTTGGTGTGTTCAGAGCTTCCTGATGGAGTGTTTGGGTGCTTGTGCTTGTACTTGGACCCCAATTTCTCCCTAATCTCAGAAACACTGTCTCTGACAACCACTCCCCAGCCCAAGGACACTGTGCCTAGCAGTTATTCATGCATGGGCCCCAGCATGACCCTTATCTCTCTGCCTGGTGCAGCTACACAAAGCTGGGTGAGAGAGTGCTGGGCTGCTCAGGCCCCAGCCCTCAGATCATGTCTCTGGAAGCCTCCCAATTCCTTAGTAAGCTCCTGTCTTGTGAGAAAGCTTTCCCTTGTTGCAGAGCGTTCTCTCATCAAGACAGGAGAGGGGTGCCTTGCCCAGCCTCAGGAGTTTTGTCCTCGACCGGCTCAAGGACTCTTTCTCCTGCCAGACTCCCAAGATCTGTACCTCTTTTATCTCCCTCCCTGTCCAGTATATTCCCTGTACTTTCTCATCCATAGCTCCCAAAGACACTTGGACCTTTAGATTAACTCATCAGTGTCCCTGGCATTCGTTTCCTATGCCCTTTTCCGTATAAACCCTAGCTCCATCCTCAGCCTCTTGCAGGTTCCTTAAGAATCCTTGCCTGATGAAAAGCGTGACAATAAATCTTTGCAACCCTGACTAGAAGAATGCTTGAGTCTGTGAATTCATTCCAGAAGACCCCATCCGGTACTCCGGTCTTTGAGGGATCTCAACCTCTCAGACCACAACATTCCCAGTTAGTCTTGGCCAAGGCCCAGCCAGCTGGGATCTGTTTGATTGGAGCTTTCCAGAACTCAGTGTTTGACTGGTGGAGACCACCTAGATCGGGGCATGGCAGCCAGGGAAGGGAGGCAGGGTCTGGGGGTGGGGGGGGCAAGATTGAGTAAGAAGAAATGTTAATCCAGAGCCCATGGGGTGGGGGTGTAATTATGCTCCTCCCAGCAAGAGGTGCAGAGCACATCTCTCCTTACCTGGAAGCTTTTCAGCTGTAACCCTGGCAGGAAAAGCCACTTACTACATTTTTCGCACAGACCATTAGCATAATTATTTAAACCAGACCGAAGAAACAATATTTTTTCTGGCAATCAGTTGGTTAATATGTATTCATTAAACTTCAAGATAACCCTTCCTCAAATCTCCTTTTCTAAAACTGCATCACCCTTTTACTTTCAAGCCCTCCATTCACACAGAGTTAGTTCAAAGAGATTCCAACTTTTTTTAAATTTTCTGCCCATTCTGCTCTCATCCAGGCTTGGTTAAAGCCCTTCCAAGCTCGACCTTTCCTGTTCTCTCAGCCAAGGGCTTCTCTTACTCTCTTCTACTTTGTTAATTCCTTTAGTCTTAAAGACTGTCGACAGACTCAATCTTCACTCACTCCCCTGAATTTTTCCCTCACAACTTAAAACCAATTAGTTGGAGAGGATTCTGGAAAGATGGGGAGTAGGTCAGAACACTTTCAGCTCTCCAAATTTCCTCCACAAAAAAAACACAGAGCACCTCAGAGGGAACATAGAGAAGCACAAATAAACAGAAATCAGGGTAAAGCAGTGGTCCTAACCTAAGAAAACCTAAGAAAATCCCGGGAAAGACCAGACCTCCAGGGGCCAAGGTTGGGCCTGAGTGATGTGCGAACACTGCAGAATCCACAAACAACAAGCGCTGGGGGGACCTGAGTGAGGAGGCAACCTCCAAAGCTTTCACCTCACCTATAGCATGGGAGGCTGAAGGCTTAGTTCCTTGTTCTGGAGCGTCACAGATTTCTGTAAGCAGAATGACTTGGGGAAGAAATCATCTCTCTCCTTCTCAAAGTTAACCTCTTTTATGCTAGAGAGACATTCATGTACTTATTTCAAAGAGTAGAGTACTTGGCGATGCCCAGGGGAATAGGCCAGAGCCCAGTAGGGTTCCGGAATTGATGGTCTACTGTACAAAAGCAACTTTCATTTTGCTGCTGGCACTTCAATGTGGAAAGAAATTTGTAAGCATTTTTTTCTTTGACTGTGAATAATCTTAATTCCTAAATGCCTCCTACTTGTACAAAGTTTATGATACTCTCCAGTACAATAGGTTAATGAGTTACTGCGTCTAATTAAGCAGTTAAGAGTTTCAGGTTTGTCTCTCATCAAAAAGAAGTTAATTTTCTAATGATTTTAAATGAACAAAAATCCTCATCACACTAATTTTTGGGTTCAACTAAATCAAATGTGGCTGTATAATCACTGATGTTATCTGTTTAAAACTTCAACTTACCACTAGGATCTCAAATTTCAGGGCTCACTGTTACCAATTAGAAAAGTGACGATGAGACTCCATCTGCTGGGATGTGATTGTAAACATCACAGTGGTTCATTTAAATGTGAATGAAATAATAAAAGTTCTTAAAACTTTACAAAGTTTACTGGTACCCCCAACTCATAAAAATACTTTTGAAAACATCAAAATCATAATTTGGAAATTTTCAGTAGAGAAATTAGCCCCATTAAAAAAAATTCAGTCTTCAATTCATTTTTGTATCTCTCTTTCATCTCGGCAGTTTCCAACTTGGCCATTGTTTGCAACATGGAGAAAAGAGAGACTTGTCTTCTCTGAAGAGTTTTACAAGTTCTACCTTTTGCAATCTTTTTTCCTTGGTCGACCAGTCCAAAAGAAAAAGCATAGGTTGGATCATCAGGACATAGAAGAAATCAGAGGCTACCAGCATAGATTAACAGCTAAGAGCACAGAGAAGAGGAACACTTACCTCTATCCTCCCCTTTTATTCTTCCCTTTAGGGAAGGATAGGGTGGATAGGGTGGAGGAGCAGATGGATGAGAAGGAGGAGAAGACCCAGTGGAAGAGGTGAAAGAGAGAAAGAAGAGGGCCCTTTCTGTTGCTGTGGGAAAGATTCATCACTAAGAGATGCCCAGCAAGACCGATAATTCAGGGTGAGTCTTCAATAGCCAATCTCAATTTTTCCAAAGTGCAGTAGTCGAAGGAACCATGCTTAGGCCAGAGCATTTCAACAGCTGAGGCGCTAGCAGTTTTAGACCAGTAGTGACCTAGTTTTACAGCATTTGTTTTCATCATCTCTAGCTCAACCAGCAACTTGCCTTGACTCCAGGATTTAAGCAGAGGAATATGCTAAAATTGATGCAGATGATGCACAATCAGTGGAAATACTGACCATTGCTGGCTCCACTACGCCAATAAGAACGATTGTTTTTTT